GTGGGATGGCAGGGGTAGGGGAACGGTTGGGCTTGATGATCTTAAAGGTCTCTTCCAACCTAAACGATTCTGAGATTCTATGATTCTATGGGGGCATCCTCCCCTGAGGTTACTGGGACACCTAAGAGGTGCACGGCACGGCACCGGGCTGTTGGAGCAGGTGCCTGGCGTTCAGAGCCCCCATTCCAACCAGCTTTTGCCATTCGGCCTTTCGAGTAGCACAGCTTTTAAGGCAATGTTAATTGCTATGCGAGACACCAAATTTACAAAAAAAAAAACCAAAACCAAAAAAAACCGCAAAGCAAATCCCCAAACCTTAGTGTACTCTGCCTAACCACAGTCAGACCCTTAAGACACCAAATTTACAAAAAAAAAAAAAAAACAAAACCAAAAAAAAACGTAAAGCAAATCCCCAAACTGTTAGTGTACTCTGCCTAACCACAGTCAGACCCTTCCTTATCTACCCGAGAGGGAGGCAATCAGACAATTTTAGCAAAGCCTTCCCAGAACCCGTTGTACCCATCAGAGGCACATAGCACACACACAGGAAACCACTTTCTAAATATGAAAATGTACATTTCTAACTGTAATTACACACACATAAATACAAAGCGTAAAAAAGGTTTTACTACCGATGTTAATCGGTCCAAGCCATTTGGTGTATTTATTGGGAAAAAATGTTTTTCCCATATCTTTTTTCTACCACTTTAGCACTAAAAAAAAAACATCTAACCTGTGCTTCACTTACCAGCAGACTTGTTAAATCTATTCCAGTCCAAGCGGGATTTGTCATTACTTATGAAAGCGGCGATACTGCATTCTCACTAGAGGATGGAGTTTAAATTTCAAACCTTACTGCAATTTGCAGATATTAAAGAAATATTTCTTCACTTCTAGACTAAAGGAACTGTATAGTCTGAGCATGCAACTTTAAAAAAAACCACACACGTACCCACGTTACGCACCCATACACACCCAACACAACAGTTTCTTCTCATTGCTCAGCTAGGGAAGAGCTCGCGTGCGTGGCAGAGGGGACCGTGCTCCCCCTTACCTGTCCCCGCTGTGCCGCTGCTCGCTCCAGGTGCCGTACTGGTTGTCGGGCTCCTGCACCAGCGTGTCTGTGTCCTTCACTGCCGGGGGCTGCCTGGAGAAGCATTGCTTCAGCTGGTCCTGCAACAGAACAGTCGCGACACTTCAGCACTCCTTTAGCCCCGAGTCAAACGGTGAACAGATTTTATTTGCAACAGTGGTTTTAAATCTACCAATTAAACTTGGTCAACCTAAAACTGGGAATAAACACAAACTTGGGCAACAGCTATGAACTCAGGACACCCATTCTCTGTAAAATGAGCACTCTTTTCCTGGGCAACTAACTGGCTCTAGGTGCCAGAACTGCCTCCCTGGTTTTAGTAACCCCGTATTGCTTTAACATTACTCTTACCTCAGGTTGCCCAAAATTTTTAGATGCGCCTATGCAAACACAAAGAATTCTGCTGGGGACTACATTTAATCTCCCCAAGCATATGAGGGAAACAAACTCTGCTGCTCTTTTCCTGGGTTTAATAAAAGTACCTTTTTTTATTTTCCACCTCTTTCTTTGGAAGACATTCAAAATACAAAGCATGAATTAATGAATAAGCATAGTGCCAGACACTAGAAAGCCCTTCACAAATTGATGTGTGCTAACGTAAAGTTCAAAGGCAATGTACAACGTAGGACAGACCACAGTGTTTTTTCTGTGTTCTACTCCAACCTTTCATTTCTTACGTGGTTTTATTTCATAGATCTGCTACTTTAATGAGGGAAACGGTGCATCTAAGGGCCCCTTTCAGGGGAGAGAAGTGGGTCAGCTCCTGCTGCTGCACCCTAGATTTGCAGCAGAGCAGCGTTAATACGCTCCAGAATACAGCGCGGTCGCACCTTTTGTTTTGCAGTGGCACTGAGTTACACACCGAGGTTCGATAGTTACTGAAATAATACATTGCGTGTAGATAATTCAATGGTGGCCCCTTTTGCATTCATTACCCTGAACAAATACAAGTATGGCTTTCAGTGCCGTGTCAACTTTGCTTATGAACATCTCATCTGACAGCATATTTCATTGTTTTCCACCTGTCCTAAGCTTTTCCTCTCTTTAAGAAAAAAGGAAAAAAACCCAAACCCCAAGCCAAACAAACCATCACCCACTCACCCCCTCAAGCCCACCTGGGAGAACCCGCTGGTGGGAACCACCAACACCGCTATCTCAGGTCAGGCAGCACACGCAATGTAATGACCACATTCAATGAAACGGGATTCCTTAATCTTATTGGAAAAAAAAGAGGTTGGGTGTTTCCTTGTGTCCTTAATTTCCTAAGCCTAAAGAACGCTGCCTTACGATTATAAAAACATTGACACTAAGGATAATTCACCAACACTGATACTTGGCTACTGAAGAAGTCCCACAATGCTTGCATCTTTCCTAACGAGTTGCTTATTTCCCCAGCCCTACCCCCAGCCATTGCCGTTCCCTGGTTCTGTCATCCCCTCTGCTGCTGACACAGTCATCTACGTTAATTCTGGGTGAAATAAGTAACAAAAGGTTCCCCATTTATTCCAACTATTGCAATGCACCATCACTAGACAAAGTAAAACTTGCAGTTTGCAATACTGAAGTAAAACAGGGTCTCCGTTTGGGAGTTACAAGGAACAGAAGTTTCCTGCTTTTCATCTTCCAGATGAGTAACTGGAATAATTCATTGGTAGCAATTCTTACACTTTATGTAGATATATATACACATGTATGTCCAGAGGTAAGCTGAGTTTTTACATTTTTAGTCCATTCCAGGTACAAGCTTTCAACCGTGAGCACGGCACACGCTTCTTCTAACAGCTAGGTGAGTGGCAGGGAAATGGCCTGGCATTTTTTAGGAACCACAGGGCATCTCCTCCTACCTGGCTGGGACATGATTTGCCTTCCACAAGATCCCTCTGTAGCTTCAACAATTTCATGCTTTGCACGGGGGGCTAAGCTAACGCTCTTGGGCTCAGCCTTCTGCTGTCACTTGGTGGCCACGGAACCTTTGGCAAGTTGGTTCACTTCTAGGAACGGCGCTAACAAGTGCACGGACGTGACGAGCTACCGCATTCTTGTAAACAATACGAACAGAGGCTTTATCAACGCCTGCCACTGGCTGCACAGAAGAAGTTGCATCGGTATCACGAGCCGTAACCGCAGCATCTGGTGCCACACGCGCCTCGACAGCCCTTGCCTGATACGCCCGGGTAACGCTTGCTGCCACGAACAGGCGACCCAGACTCGAGCATGTTCTCCTCTTTGTTGGAAGCCAGTATTTTCCACCTGCTACAACCACAGCAGGTGATCCCTGCGCACGGTACTGACTGCGCTACCTGCAAGTACTCGCATTGTTGCTAACTAGGCAATATAGTCCAAACCAGCTCAGAAACGGGAACGGGAGCAGCAGAAAAGCAATTTCATGTATTGCATTTAGGAGACATTGCTTATAAAGTGTGCTCTGTTCTCATGAAAGCGATGGTTGCAAGGATAAAGCATGCCCAACCCAGACAGTACCATTCAGCAGCAACAGGAAAGAAATTAGGATGCAAATATATTGCTCATCTGAGGGCGCAGTAATTCACAATAAAATTTTACACGGCAGACAAACCGATCAAGCCCATACTCCTCAGTTTCGGGCAACATTTTGCTTAACGTTATATATATTTGAACTTTGAGATGCGGTGTTATAACCAAAATGACACAATTAACACTCAGATTCTCGATGCTAAAAACCAAAAGAAGGCT